GCTGTCCGTCATATAGCAACAGTCTTATTGTAAAGTTGTCGTCTAGAGGTAAAAGGAATTCAGGCTAGAAAAAAATCAAGATGGTGTGACCTTTTGTGTGGTCGCAGTTTCCTTTTGTTGTATATAAGTTGTTTGACCTTGCTTTCGCATCTTGGTCATATTAGTAAAAAGACTTAGAGCAACGCACCTAGTCCGGAGTCCATTGTATGCATGATCATTTCCAAAATCGGACCGTGAACGTGGTACATTACCAGACGTTTTGCCGACATGGTCAGTGAGTTTTGCCATTCTTATCACCATACTACAACCCGTCAGAGACAAGTGAAGGCAATCCTTTGAACAAACGTGTGCTAAACAGTTGTGATATGTCTCCTTCTATCCTGGGCTATTCCCATTTCCTATATCCTCGTATCACGCCTTCACTGTTACAATTTTTATCTTTACCGTGCTTATTTAGATGTAGTGTTCTCACTCCCTCTTCATCCTCGTTCTGGGAATGTTGATCAGACGTTGCTATATTGTTACGCAGTCTTCCTTCCCTAGGTCTCATCAGTCTTCCTCTTGCCCAGTGGAATCAGTCTGCTATCTCCCTGGTTAAAGTATTTCACTCGACCTCTGCCACCCCATCTGTGCAACTCGAAGCGCTATTACACCTCTCCTGCGCCTGGGTCACTAATTCGAGACTAAAGCTTCTGAGTAAGTCTCATGGTCAAGCCTTTGCTACATGAACCACGTTTCTGGTGAAACATACTGTCAGCCAACTAGCTCCAGTCTCGGCCGCGTCTATGACTTGTTATCCCCTAGTCTCTTGTGTGCCAACCCACAAATGCTGTGGCTCATCATTAAACCTAATCAAAGCAAGCACCATCTTGGTCTTCATATCTTCGAAAAAAGAATAAAATTCAATTTTCGAAAAATATAAAACTTTCCATGTCATCGAGTTGCTGCAAAGCCAGACCAACAAATAATTACACTTTTGAATAAATACAATTAAATAAGGATAGTAGATAAGACATACGAGCAAATCATCATGAAAAGAGATCGAGGGTCAACAATATGACCATATTGTCTCGTTGCTCATAATTTTCAACAAAAATTAACTTATTAACAAAAAATTCAATTTACCCTTCGGGGCATAAGTATTGAAAAAAAGAGCAATAAATTTACCTGTTGAGCGAGCTCAAAAAGCATGCGTGCGCTAACCGCCGTGGTGTGCGTACGAAGAAGATTTTTCTCAGCCTCTTCTAGATTCCATGTATACTGGTAACCCCGGCTACCTATGCCTGTCGCCGAGGTGACACCAAATAAGGAGCCAGTCGGAGGCGAATCAGAAGGCGGAATGCTGCCTCCTGATTGGTGAGTATCACGAACTCGAGATATATAATCTTCCGGAATATAACGAGCAATCTCCGTTCGGGAAGGATCTGGAAAAAAGAAAGAATTGGATGATAAGGTACAACAACCATTGGGAGAATAGTATTAATGTAAATAGTTGCGAATATTAAAAATTGTTGATGTGGGTCTTGTTCTTAGGGCAACTTAGACACAGCTTGTATGAGGTCCTGTTACCATAATTCCCAGACCGTAAACTTGGTACATTCCCAGACGCTTCGCCGGCATGGTAGACATGTAAAGTCAATCCCTTGACCAA